CCCCCCCCCGCCCAAGGGCCCCTCTAGATGTTCAGGAAAAGGTGCGAAAGGATCTGATGTACAGTCACGTTTCCTGCAATGCCACACATGCACTGCAAGAGGCATGATGGTGGGATTCAGCATCAGGTACTATCATGCCTTTACTTGAATGTACCACGCACTGCCACAGCTGCAAGTCTCCTCAGCTGACAAGGATGGCACCCACAGCAACATCCCATGCGCTGCTGCAGCTGGAAGTCCCATCAGCTGAGGGGGCTCCAAGGCATGGGGGCATACCTTCTATATATGCAAATTAAAGCTGGATAGAAACCAGCTATAAAGTTGTTGCACACTGTCCAACTCTAATGTGATGGCTGGATGGACCTTTTTATAGCATGATAGTTAATTTGCACGTGTAGCTAGACTAAATTCATTGCACAATTAACCAGTTAATTGCACAATACATGTCACGTATGGTTGGGGCCCAACACATGCCATTTAACATTTCTCCAAGAGGTCTTACTCCATAACACTGCTCATCACAGCAAACAAGTGTAGTGACAGTCCCTAGCAAAGATATACTGGGGGACATATACTCCCCTGAAAAATGTTGCCTTTATGGGCTTGCGGAGAAAGGAACACAGAGAGCTCCCTTTAGACTCTGTATGTGTATGCGCCCGTTTCCAAGTACTGTTTAATAGTAGCTTAAATGCACCTTTTCAACTTCCTCTTTATCAGAGTTTTAGCACATCCCAAAAGGAGACTAAATCAGAACTTCTGTGGGGGCTTAGTCCAGGAGAGACTGCCTGGAGTAACTCTGAAGCTGTCACAAGGTAACTGTGATGCAGAATTCTCACTGATGTGGTGATACAATTAAAATAATATTTCCTACCTGTTAATAAAGGTGAATAAATTGCAGATGCCTCTCTGGGAAAAGCAATTACAATGTAAACTGTGCACAAGAGGAGAGAGTGACAAACCATGGGGGGGAAAAGAGGGAAAATTGCCATTGAAAAGAAATCTCTCTTGATAACTTACTTTAGCAACCTGGCATCCCGGTGAACCCACAGCTCCTGAACAACAGCTATAATGAGTCTCCCATCCACCTGGCACTGACATAGTAAGAGACAAGAGTCAAACAGTGGAGAAAGGAGCCTTGTCAGCTGCAGAATAAGACTGAATTCACAATCACAGAGCTGCCTCAGAGAGGCAGTGCAATGAAATACTTTCAGAATTACATGCTAACATTTCCATAACAGCTAAAAGAAAAAAAAAACCCTGAGAATTAAAACCTCAAAGTCTACAGTGTTCAAGCAATTCCCTCCCAACCACTCTAAAACAGGCTAAATAGCAGGGTACCAGATACATTTTGGAGGCTTGTTACAATTCTGTTTAGCAAACAAGCTTGATAAACAGATGTGTGGATGATGAAGGTTTTTCAGTAATGTAAATTCACTCTGCGTACAGCATATTTTCAAAGCTGAAGGGAAGATTCAAATTAGAAAGATGCCTCACTGGGACATAATTCAAATTTAACATAACTTCGCTGGGCAGGAACTGTGACGCCGTATTATTGGTACAGTGCCTAACAAAGATCCCAATCCCAGCTGGGATGTCTGGGAGCTACAGACAGTATGCATCTCAACAAATTCATACTTTCACCTACTGATCTGCCTTTTAATGGTTACAATCTCTGCACATAATTATAGAACACAACCCAGTTAGCACACCTTATAGACCAGGGGTGGGCAAAATGCGGCCCAGGGGCCGGATGTGACCCACCAGGCTATTCTATCCGACCCGCGGAGCTCCTAAAAAATTTAGAAAATTAATATTAATCTGCCCTGGGCTGCCTGTCATGCAGCCCTCGATGGCTTGCCGAAACTCAGTAAGCGGGCCTCTCCCCAAAATAATTGCCCGCCCCTGCTATAGACTATGATGAGCCTAATTTTTAGAAAGGAAATTATAGTGGTTCAAGTGCCAACCATCTTGGAAACAAAACCAAGTGCAGTCACGATCACCTCGCTGACAGCGAAGTGATCAATGAGTCACTACGACTCCAGAGTGTAATCATGTTTGAAGTCACCTGACCCAATTTTCGCAAGCCCAGGAGCCATTGACCTAACAGGATAAGTGATACAAGAGAAGACTGGAGAGGTGGTGTTTTGTTTGTGTGTTTTTACCACTGCAGCAAATGGTGTTTCCTGCAAGACACCACTTCCCAACACTACCTTTCGCAAACTTTAGACCACTTATTTTGTAATGTGTCACACCACCAAGTGGCAAGCTTATGTACTGCCAATTTGAAGCTGCTGCGCACAGTCTTCATGAATCCCACAACCAAATAATGGCACCAAAAAATAGCTCAAAAAGTACCAGCCTCTGTAACAACCGAAGCTTGATATGGATCAGGTATCAAATGCCAAAAGCATGTTCACCAATTTGCTGCAAAGTCATGGAAGAGTCCCTACCTTTCTGCTTGCGTAACCTTCCCCAGTGATGGAGACACTCCTCTTTGCGAATGCAGTTCCCTGATGCGGAGACCATGTATTCGGTACCACAGCGGCAACATATCCTGCATGAAGCTGATCAAAAGTACAATGAAACATTAACTGGATGAATTGCAAAATTTCCAGTAAGCTAAGACAAACAACAGGTTACATTTGCTCTGCCCAAAAGAAATACTTTGGTGAAGTACTAGCTAATCTTCCTGAACTGTACATGACTGAAAAAATAGGTTAAGATTGTATTAATAATCAAATTTAAAATCAATGGGGAAAAAAAAGACTGAGAACTGCTGTCACTTCAGTACAATGACCTGCACTTAGATGGTCGTATGCAGTTAATGTCACCTGAAAAGCAAGCCTATTGGCATGTGCCAAAAAGTTCAAAATCACTTTGGCAACAGGGTATGACAGAATGGAGGTGGTGTTAGAAGCACATGCAAGTACTGTGACGCTGAAGTGTCCAAAGCTTTACAAATGCTGCACTGATTTTCTTCAAACACTGCTTATTTTTGTCCGTTACAGCTATAAAACAAGTTTTGTTCAAATCTTCTCTATTGCAGCTTTATCGGTTATCAAAGCGCAAAGTCCGAAGTTAAAATAAATAGGGAAAAATAAGATTAGCTCTCCCATCCTGCCCTTATCATTCAAACGGGAAAATGGGCTCAAAACTTACTAAAAACTCACCTTGGACTAAAGCCACGTTTTAACTCAAGAGCAGTATTTTTGAGAAACTTATACAGTCCTACCTACACAGGGAAGCTATTATGGAATACATTTTAAATTCACATGTTAGCTTCTCGTGTGAGTACTCTTATTACTCCTGTGTGTGGTTTGGCTTAACATTCCCAAAGTGGACTAAAAGGGCCCTATATGTTGAATACTGCAGAACAGCCATTTTCCTCAAGCCCTTTGAAACAGAAAAGGGAGTGAAAGGAAGAAAGGGATTAGACTGGGAACAAGAACTCAGGTCTCAGCTGTGGTGTTTCCTATTGCACGTGCTATAGAGCAGTTTTACCACTACCTGGAAATGCTACACACTTTGGAGTGAAACCTGCCACTTCAGCAGCACATCACAAACTACACAGTATAAAAATTTGCTGGGTGTTTAAGGTAAGCGTAATGTGTATTATGTTGGTTGAACCTGGCCAGATCCCCTTTCCATTACCCCTAACTCATTGTAAAGTGTATTATAAGACTGATAATAGCTACATTCTATGAATCACATAAAAGAAAGCACATCCCAAACCAGGATGGTATGTGTGGTTTCTATTATTCATCATTAACTGAAAATGAGGCACATGCCAAAACCAAAGCAGGGAAGCTGATGGCCATGTTTCTAGACTATTCTTCATGTTTTGGCCTGAACACTTAGCTCAAAAGGACATTACCATTTAGGTGATAACTCTATGCTACATTAGCATATATAATTTTTATCTAATGTGTATTTTCACACAAACCTGTTGCAACTACATATAGCCATCTGTTTTCAATGGTATGGGTTACTAACAGCCTCAAAACGAAGAGAGAGAACTGGAAATAAGACCCCAAGCTTGCATGAAGGCAGGTGACTGCTAGTGCCCTCATCTCAGAGCTGACCAAACAGAGTACATGACAACAATAATACAATATAGCTGTGGTGCAGGTCGCTTCAACAACCATAGTACAAATGTGGGCAACAAGGTGTTAACATGAATGAGCACTTAACACACATTAGTCAGCAAATGACTGACTCCATTGAACAAGACACCTCAAGACCTACTTTTGCCCCAAAACAGTGAAGATGCAATTTTGTTTTTCACTATGGCCAGGCATTTTACTTTTAATGCACAGTACAGTAGCTTGTCCCATTTTCTTTAAATTAAAAAGTCTAATTCCTTCCAACAGGCTCTAGGTTTTGGAAAAGTCAAATAAGCAGGTCAGGAGCCAGCCTGGAGTGGGGTACACATTCCAGTTATTCCATTCCACTGTTAACAATTATATATAGTAGTGCCACCAAGTGACAGAACTGAAAACTGCACTGCTTCGAATCATGCTGCAGGTTTATCAGTGAGGCACCAACATCAGTTGCTAGAGTCCCTGCCCTATCTTCCACCTGACTTCAGACTAACCTGACTAGCCACCTTTCTGAGGACGCTTTAGAAAGTCCTCGTGTGCAGAGCAGGCCCCCCAGTACTGAAGATGTGAATATTTGTTTCCAAACTATAAAGTGAATCTCTGCCAGCCGCAAAATGAGAGAATAGCAGGCAATGATTAATTTAAAAGTCAGACTCCAGCATATGCCAACCTCAGGGGCTGAGGGTGTTGGTATCTAGAGATGCTCTCACAGAGTTAAGCAACTGAGAAACAACCTTGATCATTTCTTCTAAGGGCCTGATGATAAACCTAGAAGAGATCACTCCAGGCTGTGGCTCGATCCTAATATAAGACATATGAAACTGCTGTGTGGGTCCAAACAGCATAGATACTGTATTGAAAATATTTTCCAAGGACAAGAATGCTTAAAATCCTATAGTTCTGCAAAAAGACAGAAAGTCATTTGCAGCCAGCCCCATCCTCAGTATGAAGACTGCACCTCGTTAAGGGATGAGAGTGGCTGAACATGGGGTTGAGCTAACTAACCTTGCTGACTGACATACTCAGAACAACTTACAGTCAGTTGTTTTCTTCTCCTCTGCAGTGTAAACAATAGCACGGCCCGTCTTCTCTGGATGTGGCATTGGGTACCCATTTTCTTTCAACTGCTCCTCTGTCAGAAGATATTCCTTCAGTCTTCTGTACAAGGCAGATCCTAGATGCATCAAAGGACAGGCTGAAGCCACACCACCGAGGCAGAAGAAACGTTACCTGTTGTCTAGACAGTAACAGATCAGCCTGTGCTCATCAAAATGCACACAGGCAATCCCAAAGTCTTGAATCTGTTTTTCCATCTTCTGTTCAGTACCTAAGCTAGTCTAAGGAAACAGGTTCAACAGCCAACATTTTTCAAATTTGAGGACTTAAATACCCAGATTGAGTTTTAAAATTATTCTGCAACTAATTTTAGCCACCTAACTCTGAAAAAACCATGACGCTGAACTATTAAGGCATTCCAAAATGAAATTCCTCGGGGGCCTTATTTCATAGTATTTCACCTGGCATTTTCAGTTTTTAAATGCTTTAATAGTATATGATTAATGGACCAAGGAATATGCTTTCCACCATATCCCTTGTGAGACTCCCTACAGTGGTCTGAAATCTCACTGTCAGAGGCTTTTTCATGATATTCAGCCTAGGGGGTTTGTTCATTTCATTCCATTATGGATAGTTATAACTCCTCGTAGCGTGCTCAATAACTCCTTTGTGTTTACACTCTTCCAATACTGTTGCATCGCCCTTTGATGTGGTTTATCTGAGCTATACAACTCCTTTTATGCTTTCCTTACATGTCAATCCCTCCACGCCTTAGTAGTTTGAGTCTCTTCTCTGATCTCTCAACAATCTGCCTACCTCTTTCAGCAATCGAGGTGCCCACAACCAATTCGACCCAACAATAATGCCTGTGGCACAATCCTTTGTATACAATGTGACCTTTTAGTAAAAAGCTGGTAAATTTGAAAGCGGTTCCTACAGAACAGATGGCAATATAGTTACGTTGACTATTGCCCCTTAAGCATGTGGAGCCACAGTAGCCCTGTATAAAGCAAACCTTCTGGGGCAAGAAAGGAAAAGCAACTCCAAAGGCAGAAAACTGCAAATCAGGGATACAGGGCATCTGAAAATACAAACATACTAGGAGTTTTCTGACTGCTTCTTGATGATGCGTTAAAATGATAATCACCATGTTCACAGTCTACGTTTGAGACAGAAAATAAGGGCAAGTACAGTGCACAACACCCAGAGGTTGATACCAAACTTGCCATGTTAGTGAATATGCCTACAACACTCCTACATAGAATGTGTACAGGTGGTAAGTGATAAGGTACAATGCTTAGATGGAAAATGGAAATTGTATTGCCTCAAGGTTCAGCAAGATGTTGTTCTTCCTTAATCCCTCTCTGCTGTTTATGCAGCTCTGACTTGTGAGGTAGGGAGCTACTGAAACAGATACTTACCTGTTAAATCCTCTGCCCGCAAGCTCCCCGACCGATTTAGCGTAAAGCTGGTCTTAGCAGCAAGTTTCCCTCCTAGTACGGCTTCGTGGGACACCACTTTCTTGTTACTTGCCTCTGCAGTGAGGATGAAGGAAGAGAAGAGAAACAGAAATAGAAAAGGTCAAACACAAAGCTGCCACCTTTCTAGGGTAAGAGAAGTTATTCCTGGTGTTTGGACACTGCACACAGATGGAGGCTTGGGTCCAAATAGTTTGGAAAGCTAGAAAAAGGAGGGCTGAATTCACCTCTTTCAATTTTCTCTCTGTTCCAGAAACAGTCATGTGTTTGGTGCTTTCAAAGCCAAGTTGTCTATGGCACATCCTGATCTGCAATAGGAAACCTGCTGTCTATACTGACAGCCAGCTGTGGTTTTCCCAGGGGCAAGCCAGGATGTCTATACAGTTCATTCCCATTCACTAGGGATGCATGCTGCTGTGCACCATTGTGGACAAAGCAGGAGGGCACATGCTGGATAGTAAAAAACTCTGCTTGTACACTCACACAAGATACTACGGACTGCAGATACCCAGCTGAGAGGAAAGGGGGGAAGTTGTGGGAGGGAACATGGGACAGGGAGGGGTATAACCATTTTGGTCACGTGGCATCAGCATCTGGTGGAATCTCCCCATGAGCAGAAGGGGAACAATTCATTGAAGAAAGCCATCTACTGCAGCATGGTTGACAGGAAGGCCAGCCTGTTTTCTGGAAAATTACTGAGCATAGCAGGAAATGGGGGAAAGAAGGAAAAGTCACCCCTGTCGTGTTTCAAAGAATAACACCACTGTGACATCCCCAAGGCCAACCAGTAGGCCCAACACAGGACCCACTGCACTGCATGCAGCTCTGCTGGTAAATCCCTACAGGCCAGACTTCCATATCAAATCTTTCATCAAACTTAAAAAAAAAAAAACTTCAGCACCATGGAATACGCACAGCACGTTATCTAATGGTGGACAGGTGCTTTTTACTAATCATTAACTGGCAGGTCTCCAAAGGCCAGCCTCCCCGAGTTCAGGCCTTCTGACTAATGGTAGGAAAGGTAATGAAGACAGAGGAGGAAAAGGAAAGAGATCAGAAAAAAATTCACAAGAACAGCATAAATTGATTGTTTAATGTACCCTCTCGAGAGCCAATAATGAAATGTCTTAACCCTCTTCTTTTCTCTCTTGAAGCTTAATGTGTGTAACAGATTTCTGTGGTGATGGACGAGTCTATCACTTTGAAGGCATCATGTGAAAGTTACTCCATTAGCAGGGCTTTTCATTTTAAAGAACCTGTGCTAAAAAAATCCATGTGGCATTATCTCCATTTAGGTACCGACAGCCAACAAAGCATTGCTGGACTTTCCTCTTGAGGAGGTCTATTAAAGCTTGCAAGGCTAAAAAGCTAACCGAAGCAGTCTGCCTTTCAGCATAATGCATCTGAGAAATGGGTCTGGCTTTTCAACGGGTTTCACTCTCCTGCTCCTAATCCGAGCACGGCTTTAGATTCTTAAACCACAAATGCAATACGTACTGTTTACGCTAGATGGGGAATTGGGTGCTAGGCTTCTGAGCTTCTTTAACGTATTCACTGCTACATTCAGGTAGATGTTCCGACTGGTACTGCGCTCATAAGCCACCTTCTCCTCAGACAGAGCCTGCAAATAACGTAGTTTATCATGACCTATGCCATTCATGATTTTGCTTTTAGTTAAAATGGGAGTCTCACTGCTCTTAAATCTAGATGGCAGGGTAGAGATGCACCTTATAAACTAAGATACAGAGAGAGCAGAATCTTTTATGAATTCAAGTTCTCTTCATCAGATGCATGAACATCTGATGAAGTGAACTTGAGGTCATGAAAGCTTCTGCTCTGTATTTCTGGCAGAGGCAGAGGCAATCTGTAAGATGATCTCTGCTTGACTTCAGATTAACATGGCTAACTACTGCTCTCTAAAACATAGAATCCAACTGTGGCCACAAAGTGACTGTCCTATCAAATGGCTTCAGAGGATCTCAGAAATAAATACAATTATATAAGGGGAAAAGATTGCTGATCTGGAACTAGCCTTGGGCCCTCCTTGAACTTGAAAGGAAGTAGCACCCAATCAGATCATGGAAGAGATGCATTTTGAACCCCAAAGCACTGAAGCCTTTTCATCTGAAACTGCCTCCTTGACAGTTGGATTCATAAAGCACGGCCCCTCTAAGAGAAAGCAGCCTGCTTCTGGAGTGCTAAGTACAAAAGGTATTAAAAAAAACCAGATGAAAAGGGAGGCATTCCAGAATGGAAAAGGAGGATGAAGGAACCCCTCACAGGCTATCACTTTGAAGGCACCAGCTTGGCCTTGGATGCAACAGGAGCATCTCAAACAGGGAGTGAGGAAAGGGAGACAGACAGCACAAGAAAAACTGTTCCCGAGTTCATCTGGTACAAAACTAATGTAGTACACGATGTCTGGAGTTTTCCTGTGTAACAAGCACTGAAGGGAACCCGCAGGGAATCATGCTGTGCTGTCCCTATTTAATAAGAGGCTCCTTAAAATTCATGCACTTCCCCTTGACTTATAGGCTTTACTGACTCTGCCTGCATCACTTTACTCTACACTGACCAGCTAATGTTCCAGCAGGTGTTTCCCAACATGCTCTAGGATCAGCGCAAAGCTTGGGGTGAATGTCTAGAAACTTTTTAAAAACAGACTGCTTTTTTCCTAAAATGGGTTAAGGTACCTGGAAAGAATGTCAATAGAAATGTGCTCAGGCATCTCAAGAGGAAGAAAGGAAGAAACTTCTGTGATATTATCATCTTTTCCAATTCCTACGACTCTTGCATTATTTAACATACTTCACTCCTCTATATATGATATTTTGGCAGCAGATGAGAAAGGGAGTACAACCAGAAAATATAACAGTCTCAAAGGATAATGACTGATGGGGAGAACAAGATTCCCCAATTCAAGTTTGGCTCTTGCTTTGAAGTGTCAATACAGACCTTGTCAAACGCCTCCTGTGCAGAAGAGCAGAACTTCAGGCACTCATCAATGAAGAGATTGAGATACCTTTGGCGAATGTTGGTTGGGACTTTGGCACCAAACTCTGTGGGAATAACTGGCCTCTTTAAGGTAGTGCTCTACAGAGAAAAAGAAAGGGAGAAAAGGATCAGAAAGGTTTGAGAAATAAATTGCTTTGAGTAGCTCATGTTTCTCAGGTGTTATTAATAGTGTCATGACTTCCTTTCTGAAAAAATTGTTCAAACACTGACTTAACGTGCGGCATTTTCAATCCCCAAAATAACACTTGCAACTGTTTTGCTCCCTCTCAGCAGTCTTACTGTTCTAAGCAGCAGGTGTTTTTAGGGCTTTTAGGATGTTTTGTTACAACTGAAGAATCAGGCCTTACGGTTACACACTGCAGCCAATTAGTCTCAGTGACGTTAGATGTAAAGCTAGTTTGTCTTCAAAGAAAAACACCCCATATCATGAAAACTATGGCACTTACATTAAGAGTCAAGGTTACTGTGGTGCCAAGATTTACCCTTTGTATTGGAGATAAGAATGCATGACACCAAATAAAAAACCAATAGCTCAGTCACGCACATTTTCGATACTCCATCTGGAAAGAAGGGAGAAAAAAAAAAAGGAGGATGGCAAACACTAAGTGGCTGTGGTAAGCCTAACTGAAGCTCCGTATTTATAATTTGGGGTTTTAATAAATGTAATGACTTCATTGAACTCCAATATTGTGATTTCCTTTGGGTCAATTACAATTTTGGATTTCTAATCTTAAATAAACTGACGCTCAATTTCTCCTTAAAATTTTTTGAATAGGTATTTGCCAACCAAAACCAAAACAAAAGCCTGTGCATGTTATCTTAAGGTATTACTAATTAGTTGCCTTTTATATGCCAGCTTGTGTTACAAATAACATGGTTTAAGTCTCTGTCCCTGCCACCCAATTTTTTTACTTGTTTTATCATTTTGTCAGTCTCTGTTGAAGAGACATTCAGGAACATAACACCCCAGATGGTGCCTGTTAGGACCAAGAGAAACTGCAGAGGAAAAGATTCATAGCAATGTCAGTTCTAATGAGTACGAGGGCATATGTTTTGCAATGCCATCGGTCCCATCTTGATAGGCAAAAAGGATGCTCTCCTTAACTGTATTGGTTCAATCAAGTTCTCTTAACACAACTGAAACCTCTTCTAGATACAATGCAGGTAAAGGCTTCATCTAGGCAGGAATATTTTCCCAATATAACCTAGGACAGGGTTCAGCAATCTACAGTCTGTGGGTCAAATCTGGCATGCTAAGCAATTTAATTCAGTCCACAAAGCCAGGGCATCAGCAGTAATCTGGAAGCATCAGCTGGGTCATACATGTTGGCCAGGCTTTAGACTGAGCTTGGTTAGTGTGCCTTTTCTTAATTTAGCTTAATATTGCATGGAAAGGGGTTAAACTAAACCAAACACTAGCTACTTTATTCCAGAATAAACATATCCACTCATACAGCTATGCCACTATGCCCATGTCAGCTTAAATTTCATGTTAGATAACAGCTGTCTTGGGTAGAAAACCTTATTACCTTCAGCTACCACTGTTGAAAAACACCATTTTTGTCTATCATCAGAGACCTACAGTACATGCAGCACTATTCAAACACTGAGAAGGACGAGGCGCAAATAGCTACAGATCTACAAAAACAACCCAAGCAAAGTCCAGGCACCAGAGGATAGATCACAGTTGGAAAAGATATGCAATACATTTTAGCCTTAGGATCTGGTGGCAGATGCACCCAGGTGGTTTGCTAAAGGTTACTTTTTAGGTTAGAAAGCATGTTTGCTCTAAATATTGCTCCTAGCTAACTGATCAGATACATATATGGAAGCACTTGTAGGTTTACACATGACAAAGCAAACTGTCACACAAATCTCGCTATTCTGGGAGCAAAAATCTTGCAGTGACGCACAATTAAATGTAATCAAACCAACATGGAATGAATGGAAAGACCAGGCTGTGGAGATTGATATATTATGCAAGGGTTTGTCTTACCTGTAGAGAAGGAGCATGAGCTATCCTTTTTGGTTTGTTAGTGCTACTGGTCTTAGATGCCATCCCAGCTAGTGTACGGGCCTTCAGAGCAAGAACAGAAGTCTCAGAGTTGGTGGGAAGTGGAACGCTGCCAACTGGAGTAATTTTCTTACATGCAAGAGCTAAGAAAGACAAAAAATATATTTATGCAGAAATTCTACCATACAGCTAATTTTTGGTTTCAAAATGAGCATACAGAATTATGAAACTGTGGCAAACAAGGATTCAGGGATGATAGCAGGTTTAATTCCTTTGCCTTCTCTGCCAAGCCAATGTAGAACAGACGCTTGCAAGATCTGTTAAGTTAGATGGCATGACCAACTTCCGCACTGATCATAACGATGCAAGTTTCTGTTGCTATGTGCTATTATTTGTCTTTGACCTGGGTGCATGTAAGGCTTTTGTACACAGAGTTAATGAAAAATAATCTCATGTGTGGACACATTTATCCTGGGAAAGTGTTTGAATATGGAGCTACTCAAGAACTTGAAATTTAGTTACAATTATGAATGTGATGCATATACAAGCCCCATGTGTTACGGTCCTTGGCTTCAGTGCAAAAAAAAGGAGGCAGAAGTTAAAACCTACTGCACACTCCCACTCATGGCAATAGGTGTAACAACTCTTGCATTTTTCTTCTTCTACATTACTTGAGATCATAAAGCCACTTATTTAATAAAGAATGTGATGGCAAATGATGTAGAAAGAGAAGTTAAGAATGTCAGAGCAACTAAGCCCTGATGGCATCAAAAGATGGTCTAAAAATTCTTAGGTAGACTCATTCTTTACCTGACCAGAAAAGGTCTTGAGCTGTTAATAGAAGCGACTGTCTCTTGACACAACTTCTTCTGTGGTACAGCAAGAAGAGAGATGCTAAGGGGCTAAACTAGTTAGTCACCAATGGCCCAGTACAACCAGATACAAGAAAAGCCATTAAAAAAACCCACCGCTTCACTAAACCTCCAAGATAAAAAAGGAAAAGAGAATACAAGCACCTGCAATACAAATTCTGGTGGCAAAAGCCAGCTCAAGCTTTGGGTAGAAACTTGGGCTCACTAAAACCAGTGACAAAACTCCTATTATATTGCAGTGGGGCCATACTTCATTTCCTTAAAATTCAGAGTAACCACTAAGCAAATTTCACCTTAAGACTTATTTGTGCAGTGGCTGTACAAATGCACACCAAGTTGGTTGGTGTTGGTGTTCTTATTATTCTTACAAAGAATAATATTGGGGGGGGGGGGGGGGGGGCTTCCCCCAGAGACGTCCTTTCCAGAAAGCACACCTGCAAAAAGAGTCTGCCTTTCTACTATCTATAACATAAGGCAACTTTCCTTCCTTTAAAACATTCTCAAATCATGTTCCTTCAGCTGGTGCAGGTGGCTCTCTCTGCACATGCTGAAGGGCAGATTTGGTATGTGTAGAAGGTAAAACAGAAGTCTAAGTTCATGCTTCCGCTGGACTCATTTATGCCAAGCAGCTCTCAATTTCAGTGAAAAAAATTAAAACAGAAATATAGTAGAAAATGATAAAGCATGCAACTTCCTCTGCATAACCACTTGCTCAAACTTTAATTTTATGAATACTGGTTTGTTTAGGATGGTAAAGTGCCTGTAAAATAAAAAGCTAAGGAATGCAATTTCAAATAAGTATTACTAAGAAAAAAAATAAAAGAAAAGAAAGTCTTAACATTCCCTAAAAAAAACAAATTAGGGAAACACTCAGAAACATCATAACTATGCTATCAAGGTTGTTAAATGGAATATAAATTTACCTTGATAACACAAGTCTCTGAGTGAAAGTGCTAGAGCAAAAAAACCAACCATGCTTATCCACCCCATACCACCTTCCATTTATCTATTTTTCATTTTTGAATGGCTGTAAGCATTTCAGAATGACAGAAACATGAGAAACAATAAATGGAAAAGAAAGCAATTAGTGAAAAGATTCACTTGTCAGTGGCTATGAAAGAGAAGGGAGTAGATGGAACTGTAAATTGCTTGGAGCTGTGGCTTGCTAACCAGTTTTATAAAAAAAAAAATCCCCCAAAAAACCTGGCAGGTGCCATGCCCAGTGGAGCTCTGGAAGGCTGTGTTTACACTCATATGAGACTTAAACTAGGAACTTCACCAAGCACAAAAGCCAATGAACATATAATACACGTTTTAATCCAAAGAACTGCAACAAGAGAAGTTTCAGAGGGAACCAAGAGATCAGTGTGATGACAATCTCAATAAAAATGCATCGGGGCCTAACTAAGAAAATACTGGTACTGCACAAGGACAGAATACAAACAGCTATTCAACGAAGCTATAAAATCCACTTCTCTTCTAACATTACCAATCCTAGATACAAAGGGTATAGGTTGAACCCTGAAGGAAAAGATGTGACTAAATTATGGCTGTTAAGAACACATGTACCTTCTAGTACTTAAAATTCAAGATTCAAGTCTCTCCTCCATATTTATGCTTAGGAAGATGTTTTTGCCCCAGGCCATTGTATAAGAATGATGGAATACTTAAAGGAAAAAAAGTCACACAAGACAGGACTAGCTGCATTCAGAATTTTGTCAGGTTTTCAGATGATCTGCATTCCTGTCCAGCAAGCTCAGATCAGCCACACATTTCTTTAGAGTGAGGGAAGGTTTGGCTTGAACTTTATAAGAAGTTTAATATATTTCTCCCCAGTTTATTTGTTTTTTCAGTATCCATGTGTAAGCTCAGACACAAAATTTTGAGTCTTACCTTGCGTGCATTTGAGAACTGTTCCTCTCCCACGAAAAGAATGGCAACTTTTATTTTTGGACATTAGGGCTGAGCAACATGGCATGGATTCATGGAACACATTTTGCATTTTGTTTTGTAAAAAACTTGTGAGCCTCTCTAGAGATGTTCTCGTTTTCAGGGAACAGTGGCATCTTTTAAGCTAGGGAAAACTTGCAATATCCCTAATTGTTGGCCCAATGCACACAGTTTTGACCTTGCTAATGCTATCTCACATGGAAAACCATGCGAGAGTCTTGTACTTTCACTCTAAAATGCCAGGAACTGCTATTCTTCCTAAAATGCATCTAAAAAAACAGTGCCATTTTAATGAGAGGAAGTGAAATGATGGAAGCCAATAATAAAGCTAGGAACTTACTCTGTTTTGCTGCTGTGGTAAGGGCTGCATTTGGCACGTGAGCAATCCTCCTCTTTTCTCCTGGCAAAGAAAGAGAGGCCTTTTGAACTACCACAGCCAGCTGTGCTGCCTGCTGCTGTGCCAGCTGAATCCTCTGGTAACAAACCTCCTGGGCAGTTGGTGGGCGGTATGGCCGGATTACGGGCTTGCTTGTGACATCTGCCTGTACAGACACAAAAGATTCTAAAACCACCGTATTTGCTTGCTAATGCCCAGCCCTTTTCTCTTCACACAGAACTGAGAGAAGCAGAAAGCTTTTACCACGCTAGGTCACTGGATTTACTTAACTGAGAGGTTTGCTTGGGTCCGCAGCTGGAAACAGAGGTGACATGGGCATGCTGGTCTTCCAGATCACACCCACTGAATACAACTCCCTCTGGTTTTAGGCTTGATTTACATTTCAAGCATTATGAGTGTATAACAAAGTTATATAGGCATTTTCTTGCGTGTGAATTTGGTGTGCAGGGGAGCAGTCTGAATTGACAACAAATCAAGTGCAAAAAGTTGTAGCAGTGGAAAAGTCCCATACTCAACTTTCTTCAACATGTCATATTGGGACCACCTCGAATTTTATTCAGAATGGAGAAGAGGCTCTGTGCCCATTCAATAGTTGGGCTCTCTCTAAGACAGTGGAGGGCAGGTCACATGGGGAGTTTTGCTGAGCTGCTCTGGGCTAGATCAGCACACCCCACCCTGCCCACGCAACAACTCATCAAAACTCCCTATGTGGGATGGGGCTGTGGGAGGGCAGGGAGCAGCGTTCAGAAGCAGAACAGGAGGATGAGGCTGGGATCACAGGGTGGGGTTGTAGGAAGGGGAAACTGCAGGGCCGGGGCCCAGAGCAGAGGCGCAATCCACTGCCCCCACGCCCCTGTGACAGGTGCCTGCTCCACAGGCAGGGGCATGCAGGGAGCAGGTCACGGCTGTGCCCCAGCTCCATGCTGTCACTGCCCCAAGGTCCCAGGGTCTCCCTGGTCCTGCCCGCCCATCTCACTCCCAGACACTGCTCCCCACTGGCCCACAGCCCCATCCCAGCCACCCAGCCAAGCACCCCCTTGCCTGCATGGGTCTTGCCTGGTCTCCATGGAGACTCTGGGATCATGGGGTGGTAACAACAAGGGGCCAGGGCTGCACATCCCTGCCCACAGAACCGGGACTCTGCCCTGACCCTGCGCTGTCTTGCCCCGCAATCCTGGGGTCTCACTGGAGACTTGCCGGGAACCGCACAGGCAGGGCACGCAGCCAGGTGAACGGGATGGGGCGGGGAGCTGTGTCCAGGGTTGGAGGGGGATCTTGGAGCTGTAACACCATGGGTCCAGGGTCAGGGCAGAGCTGTGATCAGCTCCCGGCACGTTCCTGCCTGCAGAAGCTGTGCCCATCACAAAGGCATGCAAGCAGGAGACTGCAGCTCTGCCCCAGGCCCTGCCCCATCAATAGTCTGAGATCCCGGGGTCTCCCTGGCCTTGCCTGCCTGCCTCGCTCCTGGATATCACTCCCTGCTGACCCACAGCCCCATCCCAGCCGCCTGGCTGTGCACCCTGCCTGAGCAGGGCCTGGCCCCAGCAGCGAGTGTGGTGTGGACAGGCTGGGGTACCCAGGCAGCAGACAGAAGGAGCCACCACCACTGGGGCTGCTGAGAAATAGTCCGGCCTGCACACCAGCCCTGCTGCGCACCGGGGGGGCAACAGGACCAGCCACATGTGCCACGGTCCAAGCAGCCCCCAACACCTGGGCCAGGCAGAACCAAGGGACTCTGCGGGCTGGTCAAAATCCCCCAGCAAGCAAAATCTGGCCTGTGAGCCATATTTTGCTCACCTCTACTCTAAGACTACAAACCAGGGAACAAATAAGCACTGACTATATTACTAGTTTCTGTAAAATGGCTGCTTATCTTCTGCAAACTACTTGAGGCTAAACAGTCATTAGACAGTAACTCTAGATTATTACCAACCTGCTGGGGGGGGGACACGGACACGACTGTTTTATCATCAATTCCTTGAACCAACAATTCTGCTTCATATAAAACACGACACCCAGACTGAAAGCTGCCTCTTTTCCTTCTAGTTTTACTTTAGTGCTTGACATGTAAATTGCAAGGATTATAATAGGCACAACACAATTTAAGTGGCAGTAGCATAGCATGACACTTAACCCTATATGCAGAGGCAGAGTAAATGTTTTGCAGAAGTAGAAGTTAGTGACCCTATGTCACCCACATGAAAGGAGTAGGCGATAACACAATGTCCTAGCCAATATTCTTTTAATGTATTAGGCTCTGACACTCACATCTGTGTACAACCTGTTGCTGAGCACACCAAAACTGTTCTGTTTGCCTACACAATATCTGCATCATGGCTACCTTGTCTCTTTGAAAAAGGGTTTTTGGTGTCAGCAGTTTAATTGAGAAAATGTATTTAAAGATGCATAAATGCCTAAAATGTACATATTTACAATAACTATTTGAGTTCATGAATTTCCAACCCATTTACTTCCATCTCTTATCTCGCTAGGTTAGGAGAGCTTTATCAAACACATGAACTGGCTGAGGATATGCAAGTAACCAAAATGCATTGACTTGACCTCAAGACTTAAACACGTTAAAAACAAGAAAGCTCTTTCCAAGCTGAATTGAAAGGAAAAACAATTATTTTTGATACTCAGGTCAAGCGAGTGCCTAATCCTCTGCACTTCTGCTACTAGAATATAACACTAAGTAATCTATACTCAGCACCTGAAGGGAAACGCATTAAAGACTTAAAGCAAACAATTTATAAATCCGCACAAAACATTTAAGAAAACAATGTTGTCTTTACGGGCCATTTTACTCTTCTCTAAATTAAAGAGATATTCATAAACACATAAGAGAAGATGTCAAACATAATTCTCTGCTGGTTGAAGTGGAGCGACTGCCTCTCTTTTGCCATCAACCTAACTGGAAGTAGTGGACTTCAAAGTGAAATTCTTCAGCTGGGGCAGGGGGAACTTCCTCAAAGAAGGATGCCAGTGTGAAGATGTTATGCTCCACTGTCCTATATTTTGATTGCCTTTCTTAATGCACTTTACTTATAACAGAGAAAGAAATTTTAACACCCTGCCCAAACTACATTTTTGCTCCTGAGGTTTACACTTACATTTCCTTGCTTTGTAAGATGGGAGATCCTTCTTTTTTGGCCAGGATATAGAGTAGTTAAAGTATCCTCTGTCTTTTCTTCACTTCCCTCTTCTTTGGATGGCTGGAAAACAAAAGAGTAAGCTTCCAAAAGTGAGTCATCTGAAGAATGCACTCCAAGGGGATGTTTGGAAAGCCCCCCTCTGGGATAATGGAATCATAAAGAGAAATTGCTTCCAGACACCAGGTGTATACAAGCTACCACCAGCTGCTAAACTACTGAAAGCTAGCATTGAAAATAAGAGAGACCAGGAAAACAAATGAACAGCAGCATTGCTGTTCCCACCCAAGCAGTCTTTTCATGGACCTTACAATAGGATGCCTCGGCATAATCTATTAAAAACCATTCTTTTGACTGCCTAAGATTGTATGCCTTAACAGGAAATTTTCACCTACCAACCACTTACACACTTGGTATGTTTGCCAGTATTTTTAAAACCAAGGAATTTAATTAAACTCTAGATTAGTTAATTTCTTGCTCGCAACTAATGATCTCTCACAGGGGAGGCCCTGTAAAGCTGAAGGACACAGAACCACACTGTTGTCATTGCATATTTAACTAATGCACCCCTGCAGGTATACACAGGACTAATTTAATGGAAAAGCTATGGTGACACACCCAGAGATGCTTTAATACAGCAAGAAAGCAGGACAGAAGAATAGCTCTGTATTTATTACATTAGGTTTCCAGATGCTTTTGAATTGCCACATAAAGGCTCATGAGGCTGATGCCTCAGGCTTGTTCTCAACAAAAATGTTCATGATTGTTGTTAACATTCCACTGAGCCATTTTTGTGAATGCTGAAAATATGTTTCACGGGTTAGCTTCAGCCATATCTATGTTCAGATCAGTCTCTATTCTTTAGAGCAACTGTTGGCAGATTTCTCCATGGAAAGAAGTTTGAAATTCATCAAGAAATTGTAGAGGAAAAGCTGTAAGACCAGATTTTGGGGAGAGCTCAGAATCCAAATGAGAATTTTCCAAAATACTCAGAGAAAAAATAATAATATTGTTTAGTAGTAGTAGTAGTACTACTACTACTACTACTAATAATAATACAAATAGCTCGCATTTACTACCAGCTTTTCAAACTGCTCCAGTGTTTAACCATTTAGGTATCTCAAACATCACTCTTTTGAAAATCTGACCACTTAAATTAAGTTTAAAACTGAGGTCCTTTGAAAGTCTGGCCCTATAAAATATTTTGAACATTTCACATTGCTCAGACAAATTCCTTCAAAAATTAACTCACTGTGACCTGGGACTTCAGATGATGTGTGTGGAGCTGTGACTTTCAGGTAAGTGCACATATTTTAGTGTGTGAGTGTACTTCTTTAATTTTATTTGCATTCTTTTTGAAAAAGTAGAGCACATCTAAATAAGCCTCTCTCTCGGGGGAAAAGAGAGAGGAAAAAAACAGGGATATCCTATATGCAGGAATACGGGATATTGTGTATGCAAAGCATAGTTCCTTGTAGGACCAACATAAATCTGTTGACCTTTGACCCATTCTGTGCCATAGTGCCACATTTACATACCAGGAGTTTCATCAAACTGAGAAGACTGGCATTTTCTTGCTATATAAATGACATGTCCTGAAACTCTTCTCATTTAAAATTGGCAATTCTGGGTAAGCCAGGCACGGCTGACAATAACAAGCAAGTCTTCTGTCCACAGCAAACCTCCTCCTTCTATTGTTAATAACGCCATGAATAGCATATCTGCATTTTAAGCACTATTTGATTTTGCTAATTTAATAGTTTAGATGAAAATGATTAAACTGAAACCTGATCTATAGTTTCTTCCAACATGGCTCTCTCAATGCCACAAAATATTACTTGTCAGCAAGAGAAACATCACTGAGCCATTACAGCCAGTAACAGCTAAATGAGATTCTTTAATAGGTAAGCACAGACTCTTTCATGACAAGAAACCCTCCTTTTCATACACCAAGCCTGGATTTATTCTGCCATCTATATGCACAGAATTGTTCTGCAGGTTTGAGCACATAATTTTACCTATAAAGACACATTTTACTCACCATTATAACAAAAGTCTCAAAACCAAGTGCAGTTTCTAATCTGAATTTAACGGAAATGACTAAAACTCAATGAGTGATCTGGATTAGAGGAAGAAGGGAACCAGCCCTAATAGCCTCAGAGCCCCTTTCCATCCCTGTGATCCTAGACCATTCAGCTACAGGTCTCAAACTATGCTCATTGCACTGACTTTTCAGATCAGCATTCCCAAAGAGGGAAAAAGTTTTGTTTCATCTGAAAGCTTTTTAGTTGGAAACTCACTGGAAATCCCAGAATGCTAAAGTCTCCACTGTCCTTAAAATACAGATAGGGTGTGTCTACACGTGCATTTATGCCAGCTTAAAATTACTGTGCAGTAGGCAGGAATAGGCCAGTGCCTACATGTGCAGGCGTTAAAGCGCATTAACACTGTGTGGACTGACTTGGGACTAAAGTTAGTCCACACTCACAATGTTAAGTAAGGTGTCTACATGTGCATTACTGCACAGTAACTAATCGGACATAAATTTGATACCTGCGTGATGCCCAAATTTACGCCCAAATTGGTCTAAGTCAACATATTTACTGCACAGTATGGGTGTGTAAATGTAGACCCATGCCCATACTGCACAGTAATTTCAGTTACTGCGCAGTAAATGCGCATGTGTAGATGTACCCACTTGCGTACAAAGCATTTTGGGTTATGGCTTCAAGTGATGTCACTTAGCAATTCCTCAGATACTTACACACATATTTCTACTTTGGTACCATGCATTCCCTCAAAACATGTCCAGAGCAGCTGTTTTTGTAATCCCTTCCCCATCAAACCTTATTCCTAGAACAAGGACCATACAAAAAACAGCTGATTCAGCTATAGTCTTTGGGTGTTTATATCTTGAAAGGAAGTTGTTTTCTTGTCCTTTTTAAACTAAAACCCATTTCAAGTTTGATTTCCTGAAGCCCCTGCTACGAATACAAATGAAGTAATCCCTATCAGAAAATAAAAGTCAGGAAACACGGGGCTCATCTACACAAGATGCTACAACGCAGTAGTAATGAGCTACCGTGCAGTAGTGTTGCTGGGCACTAACTATAATACAATGCTACTGCGCAGTAGTGTCGGGGGAAAAACTGTGCAGCAACAGTACTATGCAATACTGTTTATGCAAGTAGTAAATGACTGCACAGTAACAACTGCACAGTCTGCCACTTGTGCAGATGTGGCCACAAAGTCTTTTTTTTTTTTGTAAATATAATGGAAAGTATAATGATACCCCTTCATAAACCCATCGTGCGCTCACACTAGGAATACTGTGCCCAGTTCTGGTCCCCACACCACAAAAAGGGTATAGAAGAACCAGACAAGGTTCAGAGAAGGGCAACAAGGATGATGGAGGGACTTCCACTTGGAGAGGCTAAAGAGGCTAGGCCTATTCAGTTTATGAGAGACACTTGAGAGGGGGCATCACAAGGGCTTACAAAAAACTAAGTGGCCAAGAGAAAGTAAATAGGGATTTATTATTTACTCTCTCTCTCCCAACACAAGAACCAGGGGTCACAAAATGAAACTAGTAGGTTTTAAGTTTAAAACTAACAAAAGGAAGTTCTTGTTCACACAGCGTGTCATTAAAGTGTGGAACCTACTGCCACCAGATGTATAAGCTGACAGTAGTTTATCCAGATTCAAAAAGGGATTGGACAAATTCTTGGGTGAAAGGGGCATCAGTAGCTATTGAGCATGGGAGTTAGGGACACAGCTTCTGCATTAGAACTTCCTAGGCCTTAAATGCTGGAGGCTGCAAGTGGAAGAGGAACAGCAGAAAAAAACCCTGGTCATACCCAATTCACTCTCTCTTTTGGCATCTACACTCTGCCACTATGTAACACAGGATACTGGGCACGATGGAGCTGTGGTCTAGCCCAGGAAAATGGAAATTCTAATGTTCTTATACACTCCAGTTTATTTACAACCAGTCACTCGTGGAGCTCGGGGTTCTGCTTTCATTACCTAGTTGAACTCATATCAGAAGGTAAAGGAGGAATTTTGTTCATCTCTGCCCCACAGGTTGTCACAGGATTATTGCTCTCAGCATGCATTCTAGTTTCTTTTCCAGTTCAGGTTTATATATTCATCGATGCGGCTTCCGTTAACTCCTAAATTTCATTCTTTTTACCTTTGGTACCATGTCTAGTAACTCCCCCTTCCATACAGAATTTGTACTACCCATAGAGTTGGATATGGCAATCCTTACACAGAAATTGCAATAACAGTGGAAATTGGCATAAAAGTTAGCTTTAAGAGGTTTCCTTTCAAAGTGTTAGCAAGATCATATCTGACTATTAGAGGTGCACCGATCCATCAGTCCATGTCGTATTAGCACCAATTAATGTCAGTTTTCCATTTTTGGCAATCGGCTTTTTTTGGACTGAGATGGCAGATAACGTCACCGATAAATGCCGCGTGCATGGGCAGAGCCGCAGCATGCCCAGGGCCAGGAGTGCCACCCGGCAGCTTGGAGAGCAGCGTCCAGCTGGTAAGTCTGTGGGAGGAGGGGCGTAGTGGGGGCAGATCGAGGCCCCTGCGGTGAGGGAGGAAGAGGGATTGGGGCTTGGGCAGGTGCTGCCAAGCCAAGGCAGGGCAGGGCAGAGCCACAAGCATATTATCCAGGGAACGTGGGGGGAGTGGCTGTAGCCCCACTCCCAGCGCTGCCACCACCTACCCCAAGCACAGCCCCACCCCAACCCCGACTCTCCCACCACAAAGAGTCCGGTGCTGCCCCTGGCCCCAGCCCGCAGCGGCAACCCACCCTCTCCCCGCACACAGATCTGGGGAGCACACACCCCTGATGCCTCCACCAGAGGTACACATAGCGGCAGGAGCCACACACCCCCTCTCCCCCCATGAGCTGTCGACTCTGTCCCATACCACATTCCAGCTGGACAGCCCCTGCCCCTGCCCTACTCCCTCCCTCACCACCGGGGACCTCGATATACCTGGCCCATGCCCTTTCCCTCCCCCACGCCCCTTTCCCCCAACAGACTTACCAGCAGGACACTGCTTGCCAAGCTGCAGGCTTGCATATCGGCAATCGGATCAGTATTGGCCGATGTGGCTCGTTAGTAATCAGCCATTGGTACTGGCTCCCAAAAATATCTTTATCAGTGCACCCCTACTATCTAACTGAATACTGGCCAAGGATCAGCATTATAGGAGAGAAGGCTACCCAGGTGAGAGGTCAAGGTCCTGGGTCTCTCCTATATAGGCAACTCCAGCCTACTAAGGGTTTAAGGCAAGATGGCACTTCCTTACATATTTTTTTCCATTTGGTCCTCCACTCAGTTTCTATAAGAGCCAGCCATACCAGTCTAGACACCAACATGCCATTGCCTTCCAATCTGCTGCTTGAATACACTCTGCCATGATGAGCTCTGGGCTGTCCCGTATAGAAGCCCGCCTGAATTGCCTCACAAAGACCCTGGAAATTCCCCATGAAGCTGTTGCTGTTCCCCGCCACCTTTGGTTTAGTATAGAAAAAGAGTAATAGCAGAGAATCACTCTAATCCAAATTATTGGTGCAATGAGAATGATGCTACTCAACTAAACTCAGCCACAAATGTGCTCATGTGTTAGTCAAAACTTCAAATGGATGGATGATTTAATCTTGTTGGGGGGATGGGAGAGAATTCCCCCTCTTTTCCCTCTTCAGCTAGATAACAAGAGCAGATTAGTATTACATTAAGAAGCAAACAGATTTGACATTTAGATTTGACGAAAGGGGAGCAATTGACCAGCTTTGAATTCAGGACAAGAGTTACCTGCTTCCCTAGTCTTCCCTTGTCTTCTGTTTTCACATCTGTGGATTCATTAAAAATCCTGAGGCACTCTTCCATGGGGTCAGAATCATAATCCAAGTCTCGCTCCAGGATGGAATAATCAATATCAGAAGTCGAAGAGGAGGAAGACGACCTTGACAGCTTGGGACATTTAACATTCTTTGTCCCTTCATCACCACTCTGGGAGCCAAAGCTACAGTCATCTACATCAGAGTCCGAGCTCACATTAGGACAGCTGGCTGCCCCCCGTTTTCGCTTCTTGTCATCCTCCTCCCCACTCTCATCTCCAAATAGGTCAACATGACTCAATGTCCCCTGCTTTGGTTTCTTCTTGGAGTTCCTAACTTCTCCAGAGCTCCCTTTCTCTTTCAGTTTCTCAGATGAAGTTTTGCCCCCTTTGTGTTTGCCACTAGATGTTTGTTTGCCATTCTTCAAATCAGCTGATTTTACCTTGGAGTCCTTCTTTCCACTTCCCAACTTCTCTGTGCTAGAACTTTTGTTGAGGCCTTCTTTCTTGCTTTTTCCCAAACTAGCCAAACAGTCAGTGGACTTTGACTTCTCTTTCTTAGCTACCTTTTCCAATTTTTTTTCAGGTTTTTTCAAATTCCCATCAGTTTTAGCTTTGATACTTTTCTCTTCACTTTTAGTTTTTATTGTTTCTTCTTTCTTGACTATTCTCTCCTTCTCAGCATTTTTACTTTTGTCTTTCTTACCTACCTCCTTCTGGCTGGAAGGCTTATTGAAATCTGTTTTTTTCTTTTTTGTTTTGTCTTTTGATATCTCCTTGTTTTTGTCCTGAACGTTCTGTTCTTTTGTGCCAGACTCGACCTTCACTACTTTTGTAGACTTTTCTGACAACTGTTTAACCAGATTTTTCTTTGAACTTTCAATATCTTCCATGTCATACTGCACAGCCATTTCTTTCATCTCCCGGGAACTTAGGTCTTCCAGTTTGGTACTCTTCTCTTTGCTGGATAAGTCATCATTTGATTTGCTTTCAGAACTGACTTTAGTTTGTGAACGACTAGAGGTTGGCCGATATTCCAAGTCAGCATCATCTTCAGAGTCCGAAAACCTGGCATCCGTTTCATAGTCATCAGATACATTACAAAACTTCTTGCAGGAAGGAGAATAAGATTCTTCATGATTAGAGATCCTACTTCTTTTGGTCCCCTTCTGTTCCTTTGTGCTGGCTTTGCTCAAAAGTCTCGCTGAGTAATTGGAAAGAGGGTCATATTCCAAGTCTGTACTAGGCTTAGAGTCATCAATCACATACTTATTGTTAGAAACAGCATTATTATATTTTTTAGTCTGAGCTACAGCCTTGGGAACATATTCCAGTGAGCTACCTTTGGATTTTGTCATATCCAAGGTGTATTTACTTGATCGACAAGCAGCAGTCAAAGGGGTAGGGTTGTAGTCCGTGTTATTATTCAAATTATAGCTACCTGGGTTATACTCTAAGGAGGTAAAGGAATCTGTTTTTGTCACAGCAGACGACACGGGTGTTTGGGGAATAAGCGAAGAGGCCTCAGATGTGCTGTATTCTTTTGTCGTCTCTAGTAGTTCCTCATACTTTTTCTGTTCTCTCTCAACTTCATTTTTGACCGCCTCAATGGCCTTGTTAACCAGCTCCAACTGCAGAATGCTAGGGGTAGATTCTGTAATGTCACTCAAAGCACCATTCTCTCCCTGGGTCAAAGGTTTAGGAAGCTCAGGATTATATGGATCATAACCACGCTCTGTAAGGGAAGGAAAAAAGTATTTTAGATCTAACAATTTTTAAAGTAATATGATTCAGACATAATAAAATACAAATCTAGCAAAGTAAATCAAATGAAGTCATTTTAATCAGAAAACAGCATTGGACACGTAACAAAAATATGATCTAGTCAAACACAAGGTAATAGTTTAGTTCGAGGTGAACAATTATTTCAGTTGGCAGGATACGTAGGCAGTTTTAGGGAGCTGTCTCAAGCCAGTTAGCACCCCCACTCTTCCCAAAAACAGCCAGAAGCCTATGCACCCTGGGGTTCCTCCCCACCACCAGCGCCCAACAGCAGCTGAGCACACAGCCTTGGCCCCAACCCACCCCAGACTTGCCCTGGCCAGAGCAGACTAGGCCCAAGCCATCCAGGACCCACATGCACAGCCCTGATCCCAGCCTGCCCCACTGCCTGCTCCTGACCCACAGTGAACAGCAACAGAGGGTGCCAGGCAGAAGCTGCTGCTAGGCACGAGGGAAAAGCAGCCGCCTCCCCCTCACCGCTGCCAGGACCTTCTTGTAGCAGCTGCCCAGATCCTATAGCCAGGCTTCCCTGTGGCTCTTCACTGCCACCACTGCCCCATTGGGCAGCCCAGAGGTATCACTGTGCATGTGGGTCCTGGCTAGTCTGGAGTTGGTCTGCTCTGGGATGAATCTGGAGCCAGTATGGGGCTGGGGCTGTGCATGCAGGTCCCCTCCAATCTCCATAGGGCTGAGACCAGCGGTGGCAGCAGCCAGAAGGAGCCACCGCCACCTGAGCTGCCTAGAAGTGGAGTCCAGCGGCAGAGCTGCCCAGCTCTGCTGCATGGCTGAGGCTGGGCATGCCACAGGTTGGACAGAGCTTGGGCCAAGTGGGACCAAAGGACATGCAGTGGGCCAGATCCAGCCCATGGGTTGTAATTTGCCCACCCCTGGGTTAGATGTAGTATCATTGGATGATCTCTTTGCCCCATACTACGTAGGAGATAAGATTAGATTATTTAAATGGCCCCTTTGACCTTGAAGACTGTATAAAATACTTCTATTATTTACTGTAGACTGAAAAGCTCTGGAGGTGAAATTTGCTTCTGAGGTACTTTAAAGGAGAACTAAGCAACAATACAACCTGGATGTTGTTACTACAAGGAACTATTTCCTATGTTTCCACCAGTCCTATTTTTCCCAAATTATTTTTACTACTGTGGGCATTTCAACATTAACAAGGCTGCACTAGAAAAAGGAATGTTTTATTATGACAAAAATTGCCAGTTAAGTTACAGTTTCTTTTTTGGACAATGCCAATGAATTAAGCACCAAAAAAATATTTTCACTTGCAGTTCCCTGAAGGCTGTGATTAAGGAGAGACTCTTACCTGAACTGGTATACTGAGGAAAGTTGATATGTATGCCTTTGTAATGAAAGAAGAATGAAAACTAAAAGATCCTTAAGAAAGGTAAAACCACATTGTAATTTCATAGAACAAGATCAAGAAAGGATGATTAAACGTGTTCATGAAATTTTAAAGGTAACCAGTGGTCAACATTTCTCTTTCCAGACATTTCTTAGACTGGACATCCTCTTCACATATTTACAGGACTGAAACTATATGAAAATCTTGGAGGACAAAGACTAAACGATCCACTTTGGCGTTACCCTGCAATTGTCACTTGCTGCTCATCACTTCTAAATGTTACATGTTTGTTAAATTAGGAATTAGTGAGGTTCAATTTAAACATTTAAGTCAAAGAAAATCCGCGTGTCGCCCATTTGATATATAATCTGCTCGTAAGGCTCATCAAGGACTACTGAACCAGTGTACCTAATGTTGTACTTCTGTAATCAACAAGCAAATAAAAGCGGGTGCAGAGAAAGTTAATTACAAAGGAGAAAATTAACAAAGGCTCATGATACCAATGATTCGGAACCAATAAGTGCTACTGAACTAGCTTGTTCATCCACATGCATTTCTAAATAGCAAGCCAAGATCTCAATCAAGACAATTCTGCTGAACCCAGTGGCATCAGCTTAAGAAAACCTTGCTACTTTATACTGGAAGTAGGATGCTTTTTAAAAGCAAATCAATAAAAATAATGGATTTGCTCACACATTAAGAAACCACTACCTAGGCTTCAGTGTGGAACATAGCTAAAGCCCAGTGTTCTGTGCAGATTAATAGACACTGTGTTTTCATGTCACTGATTGAAGGCAAGTTCTTCAAAACAGCAGAATCAGCAATGAGCACATATTACTGTATCTCTCAAATTACATTTGCGTCCTTACAATGGGCCCAAATGTAAAACAGCAGATTCTATTTTCTTGCAAAGGAATGATTGCTTATGGTCAGCAATACAAACCATTTCTTTGCATTCCCAGCACAAGACTGAGTCGAGTCAAGTTCTGTCTTGGACAGACAGACGCTGACACCCTCTTCTCACTATTCACCCGTTTCAAAGTACTGTTAATATTTGCTCGCTGTTGGCTATTCAAAAGTTACTCCTATTAACCACTGGGGCCAAGCATTTGGCACACTGCTTATAAGAAAGCAGAGGAAGAGATGGCATTTAGAACATGAATACATAGGATGCACCTGTAGAAACAACGTGTACTTCAGCAATGTTGTTCTGCTACTTCTGACCACAGTCCTGCAGCACAGAACGTTTCGGGAACAATGTCCCACTCTATGAAAATAGCACGGAAACATTAGAGTAATCTTTCTAAGTGGCTGCCTGCAATGTGATACTTTTCCAAATAACAGAGTTAGCCAGCCAGTGAGTAAGGCTATGCTGGCAAGGAGCAAAGAAGACAGAGAAGGTTGTCAAAATCCTATACACCAGGGCTGTGCGAAACAGTTATTTTTTAATTCGGTTTCGGATTCGGCCGTTTCGGAGGGACAGCGATTCGTTTCAGTGTTTTGGATCACTGTTCCATTTCGATTCGGCCGAATCCGTTTTGGAGTTTTGACGCTGTTTCGGCCATAGGTTATAATGGGGAACCACTAAAATGCCTATGACTTTGTCATTTCTTGCCTGATTTGAATGAAAATTGCATGGATGGGGCATGAAGCCTGCTAAGTTTCAAGGAGATAGGTGCAGGGGTTTCTGTGAAACTGCACTTCAAACTGTTCAAAGCAAAACTCACATCACTTGCCAGCAGCAGCAGCCTGCTGTCATCCCAAACGCAGATCCAGGGGCCCGCAGCCTTCCCAGAGGGTACGGGCCCCCAGATCTGCACACGGGATGACAGCAGGCTGCCACTGCCGGCTGGGGCCAGCACCAGCACCCGAGATTTGAAGTGAAGTAAGAGCAAAGTCATGGATAGATTGCTTAATCTTCAGGGAGAGAACTGCATTTGAAATGCATCATGGCCAGTCACCTAACAACCAGGGGGAGTGGTAACCAGAGATACTGGGCCCTTTAAGCACAAGTTTTTTGAAACCTAATCACCCCTACCTTTTTTCCAAAAATGTCATTTCTAGAACCAGAGAGAAAGCAAGGTTAGTACGAAGCCCTGAGCTATTTACAGTTTTTCTTTCAGCTATTTTACTCTAAAACAAGATAAGGACCCAAAATTAAGCAAATACCAATTTTTAAGAATGGAGCAAAACTAGCTGTTCACACCAAGATAAATATCAGATAGCTTGTAAACAGTTTTGGATGTGCAAGGCAACATCCAAACACAGTCAAATCAATCAAACAAGACTTATATCTGCACTGCACACAAAAGTTGCACCAAAAGAAACCTTTACTTCTCATGCTGTGGATGAAGCAACTGTAGTCTTAACACGTGTTAGCAGGTTAAAGTAAACTCGACATTTTACCCCAGGTTTAACACATGGCAACAAAGAAAAACCTTCCCTTTTCTCCCAGAGAAAGACAAGGTTTAAGAAACCATCAGAGGAAGCAAAGCCAATAGCTAAGGGACCTCTTCCTGCCAGCCAGTTCTTACAAAAAGGCATATCTAATAAAACACTTGTTTCACTAAAAAAGAAAAAAAGTAGCTTTGATGTCTTAGCAGTTTCAGAGACGATATTGCTACATAAGAAACACCCAGTTTTATGCTACCTCACATAGCATTAGGCATATCAGCTATCTTTGCTGTAAAGAGGTAAGCAACCAAAACAACAGGTTAGGGGCCTTGTCCAAAAATATTCCTTTCATGCAGCAGCCATTTAACAAACTTCCAACCCCAGAATTGATACAACAGAGATGATCAAAATAAATCACCCCAAGATTAATGTCAAGATTTATGGAAGGAAAATAGTTTCCAAAGGGAAAATCATAAAGAAAGAAATGTCCACACTTAGAAAAAGGATTTTTTTTTTTTAATTTAATCTAAAAATTGCCTCTTAAAAGCAAGAGAGTGGACTTACAGAAACAGAAGAGTGCAGACAGGGAAGACCAATACAGTAATGTAATGGAGGGGGGAGACAACCAGGGCAGTAGCAAGTTTCCAGGGTCTCCACCAGCAATGATAGCTGCCCATGCCAGCAGCATGGCAGTAGGCACTGACCAGGGCACAGAGATGTCCTCTTATACCTTGAACACTGGGACTGTCGTCCATGGACCACTGTAGTCCCCTACTTACTCACCCTCTCTCTCAAGTCTTTCAAGCCAGACTCTAGCCAGTAGGTACCTGGGGGTTTTGAAGCCCTGAGACAGAATATCATATTTACTCACTTTTCCTCCAAAACTTAGCCTTCCCAAATTGGAGTGTCTTAGCATGGAAACTGATTTTTTTCTGCCAAGGATAACAGCATAGAAACATGGTAGCATGCTTGAATGGCCTGTGCAAAGCAGCAAGTATTCGATTCAGATTCAGCCAATTTGAGAGACAGCAATTTGATTCAGTGATTCGAATCATTATCCCAATTCGATTCGGCCACCAAATCAGCTACCGAAGCTTCGGACAGCCCTAACAGATAGGCTGGGGGGATGTATCGGGCTCTTCCTGAGGGCATGTGCCCCCAGGTCTGCGCGCAGGATGACAGCAGGCTGGGGCCAGCAGCAGCACCAGGCTGATTCTTCCCAGCACTTGGCTGGGAAGAATCAGCCTGGTGCTATTAGGAATAGTCCAGTGCCCCCGTCATCCCGCGCGCAGATCTGGCGGCACTGGACTATTCCTGGCACACAGTGCGCCCGGCCCAAGTTCCATGAAGAATTAGTCTGGTGCCACCACCAGGAAGAGCTTGACACAGCCCCCAGCCCGCCGCCCTCCCAGGGGGCACAGAGCAGTAAGAGGCA